AAAACAGCTTTGTGGGCTTTCCAAACCTCATCAATACTGCGAAGGTATCGTCTTCTTTATAATGTATTGCTGTGCACATATTACTAAACGCTAATGAATATTTATTGACATTTTTTGTGTGATTTAGATGAACATTGAAACCATCAGGAATGAAAGGGAAGAGGAAGCAAAGCCCATTCTGGGGATGCAGTTTAAGATGGAGATGCTTGTTTACACTCAGGACAGGAAATACATCACAGAGATACGAAATGGAATTTCCAAAAACGGCCAGCTGTACTTTGGTGGGACGACCTCAAAGGAGATGATGAGACATTTTGAAGCATATTACAATGTAAATATCACTCAGTTGCTTTTTTAATGCTTTTGTTTAAAGCATGTGATTCATTGTATCCACATGTATCCCATTGAAATAGTTGACTTTAGTTTTTTTTAACATATTAAGAAAAGCAAACACTGAAACCTCTTTGAGAAAAAAATAATACCTAAAACTTACATCTTTTATATTTAATCACACTTTTAGATCCATAAAATAAGATCTATTATTTTATGGTGTGATTAAATATGTCTAGAGTGATCTGAAATATTTTTTGATAATTACATGTAATTTGCAATAAAACCTTAAGGAATTATTTAATAAGCAAACTAGAAAACGTTTAAAATTCAGTCCTAAACCAGTGAGCTCTTTAGTACATCTTATTTTTGTCTTCTCTGCTTACAGATTGCTGGTCAGCGTCTTGCTGACCAGATCCCCCTGGTGATCCGGTATCAGATGCTGCAGGAGTTTGCCAGCGAGCTGCAGAGTAAGATGCTGGACGCATTTACGGATAAGGAAAGAAAAGAGTACCTGCTTCAAGAGGATAGTGGCACAAAAAATAAAAGAGAAGATCTTAAGAAGCGCCATGAGCGTCTCTCACGAGCTCACATTCTGCTGTCTGAATTCAGTAGGAACACAACTTTAACTGAAGTCAACAACTTCAACTCAATGGAAAATTTTCTACCAAATTTTTAACCTGGCAGCACAAAGCACAAGGTCAGACCTCACTGCAATCTTTCCAATTAAAAGTTAAGGGTTTAAAAGGGTTGGGGTTTGCACCTATAATCATTTATAAGAAACACTGAAGAATATTTCTATACGGGCATCAGAGAAAATAGAGACAGTTGCACCAGGAAGTCTTAAATATTAGAAAAGAAAAAAAGAAAAACACACATCCAGGTCTAAGGAGTTAAGAAAGAAAAGCGTCTGGACCTCTCATCCAAGAAGCTTCTTCAGTTCTACGGTCTAATGGTGTGAAGTCCCAGATTTAAGCCCTGTGGAGACTCCACACCATTTGACCGTAGAGCTGAAGAAGCTTCTCGGATGAGAGGTGAAACATCTTCGAGCAACTTAAAGTCCAGACGCTTTTCTCTGGATGACTGAGAACCTTCACAGACAACACACATCCAGAGTTTTCAGATTTCTGCTCAACTAAATCAGAATCTCTGTTTTGGACGGGAATATTTTTGCATTATTATGTACTCTGTGTGTTCATGTGTTGTGTCATCTACTTTAGGTTTCCTATTCATTTTCAATTGGATTGTATGAATAAATAAGTAAATACAGTGAAACAATAAGCTGACGTTTCTGACAGTATTCGTCTTTTCTGAGGCTCCACATAACTGAACTGAACAACAGCTGTGTACATACAGATGTCGCATTGCATATGGACAAAAATCAGGCCATGGATTCAAATGAACTCTGTAAACCTCAATAATGTGGTCACGGTATTCTCTGAATGTTCCAAAGACCAATAAACATGAACTAGAAAACGTTTGAATTAGCCCTCATCTTCACATTCCCTCTTGACATCTGATTTCTTTACGACTTTGACCCATTCCATCAATGGCTGGTTGAATCCTTAAAATTGTGTATTCATTACCACCCTTAGCAGCAACAAATGCAATCAAGTTTTGCAACAGCTAACAACAACTCTTTTACAGTGTTGTGGAGCACAGTCATACTCCAAACTCCACTATGGCCAAGATCAAAGAGCTGTCAAAGGACACCAGAAACAAAATTGTAGACCTGCACCAGGCTGGGAAGACTGAATCTGCAATAGGTAAGCAGCTTGGTGTGAAGAAATCAACTGTGGGAGCAAATATTAGAAAATGAAAGATATACAAGACCACTGATAATCTCCCTCGATCTGGCGCTCTACACAAGATCAAGTGGGGTCAAAATGATCATAAGAACATTGAGCAAAAATCCCAGGACCACACGGGGGGACCTAGTGAATGACCTGCAGCGAGCTGGGACCAAAGTAACAAAGGCTACCATCAGTAACACACTACGCCGCCAGAGACTCAAATCCTGCAGTGCCAAACGTGTCCCCCTGCTTAAGCCAGTACGTGTCCAGGCCCGTCTGAAGTTTACTAGAGAGCATTTGGATGATCCAGAAGACAACTGGGAGAACATGATCAACCAAAATAGAACTTTTTGGTAAAAACTCAAGTTTTCCCATAGATAAATCTGCCCAGCAACAGCCCCAAAACATCGCTGCTCTAGAGGAGATCTGCATGGAGGAATGGGCCAAAATACCAGCAACAGTGTGTGAAAACCTTGTGAAGACTTAGAGAAAACGTTTGACCTCTGTCATTGCCAACAAAAGTATTCAGATGAACTTTTGTTACTGACCCAATATTATTATTATTATTTACACCATAATTTGCAAATAAATTCTTTAAAATGTGATTCTCTGGATTTTTTTCTTTGCTCATTTTGTCTCTCATAGTTGAGGTATACCTGTGATGAAAATTACAGGCCTCTTTCATCTTTTTAAGTGGGAGAACTTGCACAATTTGCGGCCGACTAAATAATTGTTTGCTCCACTGTAAGTGTGACCAATATACACGAAAATAGAAACTCAGGAAGGGGAAAAACACTTTTTCAAACCACTGTGATTCCTCATGTTTTAAATTGGATATTAGATCTGTACACGTTACTTTTTTTTAAATTGTGAAGCATGTTGAAAAACAAACTAAGGCAGACTAGCTGTGTTATTTAAAGACTGCTTGAAAATAATCAGCAGTTTGGTGCATGACAAACAAGTTTCCTGTACTGTGATAGATTTACAGTCTTTTGGTCTGGTGCAGAGTGGTTGTGGTTTCATGGTTTGGTTACATTAAGTGTAGCAGAGATGAATTTGAAGTTAAACTGATGATGCTTACATTCATTCACTGAATCCCACCGTTTAACTACAGCATAAGCAGTCAGTGTGTAGAGGATGGAAATAGGCTAGGACGACTCATGAAACATCTGCTTACATCTTTTTTAATTCAGCTGTGTACATCTACACAGAGCAGCAGTAGCCCAGATCAGCCGATCACAGCCTGTCAAAAATCTACTGGAGTTCTCAATAGAAAGTTTTTGTGAGTTGTGATTCTTTTCCCTACACTCAGCCATTACAGACAATTTTAGGGTTCCCACACATGCTCAATTCAATTTTAACCCTTTCTGGACTCATTTTCCTGTTTAGAGGAAAAGTCAACCTTCTACAATGTAGGCAACAGAAAACAGAGCTTTTTTTTAATCCTTCTTTTTCTTTGCTCATGTTTTGCTTACCTAATTCAAGCTGAATACCTATATTAGAATGAAAATTGAGACTAAAATTTTGTTTCCCATCTACAAGGTAACTTTGCACAAAAATCACTAGTAGAAACAAAGAGCTGCTTTTTACTTACTTTGAGTACATTTTTGAACCTGCACATTTTCACTTGAACCAGTACTTCAGCTTTTGCTCAAGTATTTTGGGCTGGCTTGGGAGTGTCTTGACGTCTCTGTTATGACTGCTAGGTTTAAATTTAGTGAAAAAATAATATGAATAAAATCAGTGAGTGTACATTTACAAAGAGTGTATTTTTTTTTAAATGATTAACAACTGTTTTTTTCTGCTTCCTGCTTCAGATTGCTGGTGGCCAGGTTGATGGCTGATGGAACCCCACTGGTGATTTATGCTGCAAGAGTCATCCAGCAATCCTACTGCAGAGCGAGATACTGCAGATGCTTCAGGACAAGGAAAAGTTGGAGTTGTTGCTGATGGAGGATTCTGACACTTGCACCAAGAGGGCTGCTCTGCAGAGTCGCTTCAAGGTTTAGATGTGGAGGCTTTGCAGCACAGCAAGAAGGTCCTGAGTTCAATTCCACCATCAGGTCTTTCTGTGTGGAGTTTGCATGTTCTCCCCGTGTTTGTGTGGGTTCCCACCTCGCGCCCTGTCTCGCCCAGCTGGGATAGGCTCCAGCGCCCCCCGCGATCCTGAAAAGGATAAGCGGAAGCGAATGGATGGATGGATGTTTAAACTACACATTATCTAAAGTTTAAATAAAGAGTCTTTTTTTGTCTTAATTTACCAGTCCATCTTAATTGTATCTGTAATATTACTTAATTGAACAATCTGACTTCTTTATTTATTTTTTTGAAGAATTTTTAAAATGAATAAATAAACTGATCAGCTCATACTAAACTGCTCTACTTTCTTTTGGCTGAGATATAATGTTTATCTGTTCCAACTCCAAACAAAATTAAGTAAATCACTGAGATTCTATTTATATTATTGTATCTGCTTTCATCTCTCATGCACTTGTTAGATACTGGAAACTTTTTGACTATTCAAACACTTGTGCACTTTAGCTCCCCCTTGTGGTTTTACACAAATTTAAAATACAATATTATCAGGACCTTGGTCTTTCAAAAAAGGTTAACTTGGATTTTGGATTCTGTGAAACCATCACTTTGAATTGATTAGACTGTTTATGTGCCTACTATATGAGAAGCTCTAAAGAAAATATCAGTGCCGTATACCTGCAAAACTGTGGTTCGGGGAAATTTAGCAGCTATTATTATATGTTAGTTTGAGCTAAACTCCTGAGAGTGTGTATCCACATAGTACCAGATACTGATCCTAAAAAAAATTGTGGTTTTTTAGGTTTGTTTATTTGCCATTCTTAAGTGATGACAGTAGGAGCAAGAAATTATCTGTATTATTTCTCTACTAAGAAGCTCATCTCTGCACTGAAATGAAATGTTTTGTCTTTGTCAAATCTGAAGTGGTGTTTGCCCTGCATCAGGCTGGTCAACCCCCCCCCCCCCCCCGGACCCTGATAATGATAAGCAGAAGAGGATGGATGGATATGAAATGTCCACTGTGTGTTTAAATCAAGTGTGAAAAAAACAAAAAAACAAAACACGTACATGTCATGCGTGCACATTAGTCCTGCTTCGTGTGGACACTGATATGCAGTTTCCTGATGTCCCAAATCACATTTCCCACACAGCTGCTGCAAAAACCAAAGATGTTGTCCGTTTTGAGCTTTAGAAAGTACAACCAATGAGTGATGTATTGATTTGAGGCAGTTCAAGTATTTATTTGAAAATCACCACAGCCATTTAACTTTAAATAGTAGCCTTTGTCAGTCAATTATCAATTACCATTTCATTGATCTGTTATAAATAATACAAAAGATGGATGACATCATTCACTGTTTTGTGATTTCCCATTTTGACCCCTCAAGCTGAGCATCATGTCTGCTGACATCAGTTATAGTTTCAACACCATGGGCATGGGCTTCCTTGTTTCCCTCTGCAGAGGACTATAATTCAGAAACGGAACATTGTGCCAAAGTAAATACCTCTGAAACTGATTAAGGTATCAAGCTCATCAGCAAAGCATTTACTGAAGTTAGAAATCATGAGCTTCACGGTACTTCTCTCATAGATTTACACACACACATACATACATCGAGAGAAAAACATGCTCAGGATAAGACTTAAGAATAAGTATTTTTCCTCTTCCGTGGACAGGATGCTGGATGACCCAAATCACTGTGGTTTAGCAACAGGAACTTTGCGTTTTGCCCAGCTTAAGGCTATCTCCCGTGATCTTGCAAGAAGTAGGTTAAAGTAACAGGAGAAATGAAAGAAATGAAACCTAACCGAACTCACTTAATTGCTGATTTAGTAAAAAATAATTAAAGTGAAGAATTGTAATGCCGCTAGGATAGGCTCCAAACCCCCTTATGCAAAAACCTGAAAAGGATAAGCGGAAGAGGATGGATGGATGGACTCTATAGTGCACACTGCACAGTCAATTAACCGCGAGTTAAAGAAAGTATCACTTTAAAGAAAGTATCACTTTAAGAAGAAGCTGCCTCCTCTCTGTATGTTTGAATAAACAATGCAACAAC